GCTCTGTAAACCAGATCCATTTCCTCGCTTATTTTTTCCGCTTCCCAGCCGGTGAGTGTTGCCAAGGCTTCCGCTAAAATACCTCGGAGATCCTCTTTTTCCAGTTCTTTTATGCCTTGAAATCGGAGAGTTAAATTTGATTTTTCCATTTGAAGCATCATTAACTTTTTATCTTGCATCTCTTGGTTGACACCCCTTTTTTAAAGGAATTTGGTCATGTGGATTATGGTCCTGAAGCTATGAACTGTCTCCTTTAGGAAACAAACCAGTCTTTTTGTTTGTTTGTTTTGTTTTAAGAAATTGATTAAAAAGTTACCTGTCCAGCAAATATTTGTGAGCTCCTGTTTGGCACTTTTATGATTGGCCTCCCTCTTTCTGAAAAGGCATTTTGTGGTGTAACACTTTATATGTAAGTATAATTAATGTTAGCTTTGTTATGTTAAAATCTCATAGCCCACCTTCTGATTTATTAATACATTCTTTTGGTGGCTTGCAAGTATTTTTACTTAGAAGTTTATATGCTGCCTCTTAACATACCTGCTCAAGAAGTGAGCAGTGACTCATGGAAGCTCATACCCTGCTAGAAATTTCGTTAGTCTTTAAGGCGCTCCTGGACTCTTGCTCTTTTCTAGACCTGCTCAGTGCAGCTCACAAGTAAAAACTATACGGTTAACCAATAAAAATATAAAGTTATGACGAATAAATCAAGCTATAGAACAACACAAACACTCACCAGCCTAAAATTATATTCTCAAAACAGTCCTCAGGCTAAAAGCTGACTGTAAAGATTGCACTCATCAGTTCAGTTAAAAAAATAGTAACCACAGCTATGTGTCATGTGTGCTGATTCAGGTACTTTTGCAGAAAGTTATAAATACTATAGCAGGCTAATACCCTGATGTTTGTTATGTGAGAAGGAAACAAAACATGTTGGATACAAGAGGAACTTAGATTAGAGCCTGAATTCTAAAATTGTGGATATTGAGCAATGGTTGTAACGGCTCTTCTTTATTGTGATGATTCTTGTGCAATAATATTCAGACTAGAGTGTAAAATTTCTGGAAATTTTGAAGCTGTAGTAAAAACAGGTTTTTAAAAATAGAAATACATGGAATTATTAACTTCCTATCAAACCTAAACATATTTTCCTGCTTTAACAACATAAAATTTTGTTAGTCTTTAAACCTTTAAATCTTGGCATATAAATTTTTTTATTGCATTAAGTCTTTAAATCTTTTCATATTAAAAAAATTATCGCATTTATGGAATTGTAAGTATAAATGCCTTTGTACAGAACTAATGATTTTTTAAGAGAACTAATGTGAGAGAAAGCTGCAAAATGGGGTACCCAATGTTATTTTAGCATGTTTTCTTTATCCTAAACGAGTGCCATGTTTCAAAGGAGTGTTCCCAGTGTTCCTCCAATTCAATAAAATGTTGGGAAAAGTCCTCAGACTTTTCAGTGTTACACGTTCTGAGAAGAAAAAAATGCATATTAGTTTTTTTTAGTGCTCCCTAAAGTTTCCAAAATTTCTCATCAGAAAAAATTGAACAAGCATCTTTGGTGAGGACTTTTTTGTTCCATATTTTTCTATTCCCCCCCCCCCCCCAACCTTCACATAATTCATTCAGACATAGTTGAATAGTTGGCTCTTTCCGTGCTCAGCTATCAGTAGGAGTAAAGAAGATCCTTTCACTTTTGGGGAAGCTGATGTGATTCATCCTTTTGCTAGGAAGCCTTATGGACTTGAGGCCCATATCTTTCTCATTATGTGCTGTGCTGGTCCAAATCTGGACAAGCAGTACACACACACACACACATGTATAAAATTACAAAATTGTGAAAATAGGCTGGCTATAGAGTTTTGAGTGAGTCATTGTGAATGCTGATTAGGGTTTCCATAGAAACCAAGTAAGGGAAGGCAGTTGGGTGCAATCTAAGTATGATATGTTGTTGAAGGCTTTCATGGCCGGAGTTCAGTAGTTGCTGTAGATTTTCCAGGCTGTATGGCCGTGGTCTTGGCATTGTAGGACCTGACATTTTGCCAGCAGCTGTGACTGGCATCCTCAGAGGTATAACACAGAAAGATGGAGTACTCTCTGTGTCAAGGTGAGAAGAAAAATGGTAGGCAGGTAATTTATATCTACTCAGGAAGGTGGGGTAGAGCTGAGTCATTATCTTGTAGGGGTTCCCCAAGCCGTGACATGCTAATGGAGGAGCTTTTCAGTGCCTTGGAATAAGATACTGTGTTCTGTTTGCGTTAGGCTATGTTCAGGCACTGCTGATTTTTCAGTGTGCAGTGTCTTTCATGTTCTTTTATTCTTGTCTGAACGCTACGCTGTGTGGTCCCGATGTAAACTTGTTCACAACTGCATGGTATGCGGTATACTCCTGCAGAAGTGAGGGGGTCTCTTCTGTCTTTTGCCGATTCAGACAGCATATCCAATTAAATATCCAAATAAAAAAATATCCAAATAAAAAATTACTATGTCTGGTTACACAGGGAAGCCATTGGAATTCATAAACTTAAACACAATTTCAACAGGAAAGAAGAGAGTTTAAATAGGGCATGGTTTCCTGTCCTGAAAAACACAAAATGTTCTACATACAATAGCACTACAGATAAGATTAGAATTTCAACAGCCAATTTATATGCAAAAGAACCTCCTCAGGAAAGCTCCATTAGTACACACACACACACACACACATATGTATAAAATTACAAAATTGTGAAAATAGGCTGGCTATAGAGTTTTGAGTGAGTCATTGTGAATGCTGATTAGGGTTTCCATAGAAACCAAGTAAGGGAAGGCAGTTGGGTGCAATCTAAGTATGATATGTTGTTGAAGGCTTTCATGGCCGGAGTTCAGTAGTTGCTGTAGATTTTCCAGGCTGTATGGCCGTGGTCTTGGCATTGTAGGACCTGACATTTTGCCAGCAGCTGTGACTGGCATCCTCAGAGGTATAACACAGAAAGATGGAGTACTCTCTGTGTCAAGGTGAGAAGAAAAATGGTAGGCAGGTAATTTATATCTACTCAGGAAGGTGGGGTAGAGCTGAGTCATTATCTTGTAGGGGTTCCCCAAGCCGTGACATGCTAATTGAGGAGCTTTTCAGTGCCTTGGAATAAGATACTGTGTTCTGTTTGCGTTAGGCTATGTTCAGCCACTGCTGATTTTTCAGATTGGCCCAGTCTGCAGTGTCTTTTATGTTCTTTTATTCTTGTCTGAATGCTACGCTGTGTGGTCCCGATGTAAACTTGTCCACAACTGCATGGTATGCGGTATACTCCTGCAGAAGTGAGGGGGTCTCTTCTGTCTTTTGCCGATTCAGACAGCATATCCAATTAAATATCCAAATAAAAAATATCCAAATAAAAATTACTATGTCTGGTTACACAGGGAAGCCATTGGAATTCATAAACTTAAACACAATTTCAACAGGAAAGAAGAGAGTTTAAATAGGGCATGGTTTCCTGTCCTGAAAAACACAAAATGCTCTACATCTTACAATAGCACTACAGATAAGATTAGAATTTCAACAGCCAATTTATATGCAAAAGAACCTCCTCAGGAAAGCTCCATTAGCATGTCATGGCCTGGGGAACCCCTACAAGATAATGACTCAGCCCTACCCCACCTTCCTGAGTAGATATAGATTACCTGCCTACCATTTTTCTTCTCACCTTGACACAGAGAGTACTCCATCTTTCTGTGTTATACCTCTGAGGATGCCAGTCACAGCTGCTGGCAAAATGTCAGGTCCTACAATGCCAAGACCACGGCCATACAGCCCGGAAAATCTACAACAACTAATCTAAGTATGTTTCTAACATTAGCTAATAATTCAGAGGAGCAAAATGTCCTCTTTATTTGTCCCTGATGAAGTCAGTAATCTCCGCCAACATTTGAGAGAGGAGCAAAGAGTAGCTGAAGTTCATTTTGCCGATCTGTCAGGCCCCTGCATACTTTCTGATCTGCCTTGATGACTCTCTGTCCATATAAGTCATGTTTGCTCTAGTTACAGGAATGCGATTTGACTTGCTGCACAGCAGTGTTACAGCCATCTGTGGAATAAGGACAATGAAAGACTTTGTGTAAGTTTTGAAGGAGATATAAAGTGGGCTTGAGCAAATCATGAATCCTTGAAGTTCTCAGGAGAGTTTGGCAAGAATCTGAAGGTTCAGGGAAACACACAGATTCTCTTATTTAAACATGAACAAGATTCAGTGCATTTTTTTTGCCTGAGTCTTTTGTGGTACTACTGAATACTAACCTGTGATATTGACTCTAGCAGTGGCTCATCGACTATGTCTTCCTGCCATGTGCTACTTAGAAAGCTGATGTTTTGTGCTTGTTTGGAGAACTCTTCTTTTGTCTGTTTGTTTCATTATGGAATTCGTGTCTAGTCTCTTGGGAGAGATGACTTTCCTTTCCAGTGGGCTCATAATCTTGTTACTTATTGACAGCAGTGGTGTGTCTTTCGTAGTATTAACTTCAGTGATGAGTGCACTGTGTTTCAGTGAATACCCAAAACTCAGAAACTATTAATCATGAAGGAATAGTGACAGTTCTTGGTGGGGAAGGTCCAGAAGTACTGGCTGATTAGTTGAATTGTGAACACGTCCCTCACTTGACTAACCTTTTATGCCTTCCTTTCATCATACTGCTTTCCCTATCATAATAATGTAAGACCTTTCCCCAAATCCTGCCTACTTCCTAGGGCAGTGATGGGGTTGGAAAATCTGCTCCCTCAGAATTCTGCCCTGGGTTTCTGAAAACTCTTTAAGCGTTTCATTGTTTTTAGCCTGATCAGCCAGTGCAGGAGTCAGTGTCTCTGGGAATTGTTCCAGTGTAAAGCTTTGCTATGAAAGCTGCTGGGCATTTTGCCAACTCTGCCAGGGATTGGAACAGTTACAATCAGTGTGTCAGGCAGGGGCTGCGTCTGTTGCCTTTCTCTGCCATTTTGATTGGATGTATGCATTTTTATTATTTCAAACATTTCTATTACACCTCTGTACACAGTATAACTGATGCGGCTTACAGTACTACATAACAAAAATCATGAAAATCTTTAAAATCACAACACCACCATCCAGCAATGATAAAAAAAACACTTAAAATGAAACTGTCAGTAAATGAACATGTTAGTTTTATGATATTAGCAAACATGAAAATGAGCCTAAAACCTCAACATAAAAATACACAGTGAGGGTGGGATAGCTAATGGATTATAAGGAGTTTGAAGAATAAAAATATTTTTTGTCTGGCACCTAAAGGCTTCGCATTGAAATTTTGAGAGGAAGTTGAAAAGTGCAGGCCTGGCCGCTGAGTAGGACCTGCCTCTCATGTGTCCCCCCCTTCAGCACATGTGGGTAGGAAGAGCAGGGCCTCCACTGGTGACCTCAGTTGGTGGGCAAGCACATCTGGGAGAAAACTGTCCTTCGGGCATCTTTGAGTCAGGTTTTCTTAGGACTTTATGGGTCAGGATCAGCATTTTGTTTTGCACTCAAAAGCCAGCCAGCAGCCAGTATAATAATCTTAAGACTGGTGAGATGCGTTCCCTGCTAGCAGTAGCCTAGCTGCAGCCCTTGTCCCTTCAGCATCATCTTCTGGAACCAATTGGTCAGGTAGGATCAGAACCACCTCAGTTTAGTGTTCCCATTACCCATCATCTCCATCGGGTCCAAAAAGATGCCATGATGGATAGGATCAAAGCAGCTGAAGGATCCAGCAAAATCAAGAAAGTGGTGTCTTTTTACTGGTGAAGTTTGCCCTGTAGCCAGATTTGAAACCTGAATGGAATGTGCCCAGATAATCATTTTACTCCAAGAAATCCTTCAGTTGTACGGTTGGTATATGCTGGAGCATTTTACCCCAAAAGGGGATATTTGCCACTGGGTCATAATTATTTGAATATTCCAGGTCTAAGGATGACTTTTTAAGGAGAGGTCTTGCTACTGCTTCCTTCACAGTTGGTGGAATTATCCCCTCTCTCATTGAAGTATTCACTGCTTCAGAGATGCACTTATTTTACAGAATTACCTCTGGCTAGCTGTTGTAAAGCCAAGATGAGCAAGGTTTTAATATTGAAGTGTAGTGTGGAATTCCCCAAGCAACTGAATGCTGCTGAAGGAAGGTAACCAGGCTACATCCACACCGGAGGAGAAATGGGTAGAGTACAACCAGCAGTCTCTAGCCTGTGACAAAAAGATTTGTTGTTTGAAACAGGAGTTTGGGGAAGATCATTGAAAAGAGCTATGGTTTGTTGATGTATGAATCTCGCCCTACAGTCTTCTTTCTAGGATCTGCTGTTAAAGTTTAAGAAGTATGGAGCAGTATCCAGATCTGCAGGAAGATCTGAGTCTGGAGGACACCAATGAATCCCTTAATCAGCTCAAGTTGGCTTCCCTAGATGAAAAGAACTGGCCAGCAGATGAAATGCCCATTTTCCCCAAATCAGGTATGTACTTTTGCTGGTGACAAAGCAGGAGAGCAGAATGTACCTGCTCAGAAAGGTACTTATCTCCTGCAAGTATTTGAATTTTGACACCTTTTAAGATGGTGCATGAAAACTTGTTTTTCCCCTTCCCCCACATCTAATTTGAGATGTGGGATCTGGATGTGTCAAAAACATAATGGGAAGATGAGTAACTGGACTGATGTGGGGCACAGAGTGCCACAGAAGTATCTGTTGAAGAGTGCAAAGGAGTTAGAAGTTATGTAGGGGAGAATTTCACTTGATCACTTTCTACTACCCACAGATTAATTCAGTGATATGTTCAAACCCTTGCTGTGAATGCATGCGCTCGTCTTTATTGAGGTCTGATAAAATCTGCTCAAAAATTATGCATCAGTTTTCCCCCTACATCCATAACATATCTGCTCCTTTGTCAGTGCCCTTATGCCTACATTCAGCTGCTCTGAGATTCTGAGAGTTTTTGTTAATGGCTTTTTCTTTTCATTTTGTTTAGATGACACCAAGAGCTCCCCTGATTCTGTCACTCACCTGCGATGGGATGACCCCTACTATGACATTGCTAGGCACCAGATTGTGGAAGTAGCAGGTAATGGGTTTTTTTTCATCTTCTTCTGTCTTCCACTAGATCAATTCTGATCAAGTTGGAAGCAGCCACGCAGTAGCTTGATTTTTATAGCAGCTGTTGAAGATGCTTTTGTCCAAAAAATAGTGATATAGAGTTTGACTTTGAAAATGTTGTTGGTGCATTCTATTAAAAGGTTTTAAGGACCAGGGCTGTGATCTGACACTATGTGTGCACTAGAGTTATTTTAGAGTTGCTTAAAGCAGCTTCCTAAGCCTACAAACAGCTTTTTGAAGTAGATAACAATCACTATTGGGTTTAGTGTCAGACTTGGTCCAGGAAGACCTGGGTTCAAATCTCCACTTAGCCCATTGAGGCAAGTTGCAGCAAACAGACTCTCAGAGCTTCTGTGAAGGTAAAATGTCAAAAGGGTGTTTGTTGCAGGGGAGGACCTTGTATACCACCCTGAATTCTTTGGAGAAAGAGTTGTGAACAAATCTACTAAGTAAAAGTGAGTTATGCCCACAGCAGGAAACAATTTTCTTTTAGAAAGGTCATGTCAAATCCCCAAATTACTTTTTAAATCTCAACATGTGATAGTTCATTCAGATGGAGCTGTATCAAGAACATCTTATCTAAAATAATTCTGGTGGGAGCACAGATAATGAAGTATACAGTGTCCTGGATCATCCAAGATCTATTTATTGCTTTTTGTATGGGGCTGCATTCTTGGTTGAGCTAGGGTCACAGCATGGTGAACAAAATAAATTAACATGGTATGCTCCTCTTTATGCTAGTGTATTAATGAGAACTTGTTTTGTGAAGACTGGATAGATACAACTGTTGACACTTAAACTGATAGTTAACTAGTTCTCATCCTGTGTAGACAGGAAACCTTTCTTCCACAGCACCACATGTAAATGCAGTGCATTCTGATTCCATCATTCATAATTTTTCCATAAATTGTTGATCTCAATGTTCAAAACAAGTTGTGTTCTGTTGAATTCTACTTTGTTGAAGTCCTGCTGTAGTCATTTTTGGAAATAGTTTAAAAATCTGCTTACCAGAGTAAGTCCGTGCAGCTGCCATAGCCTTCTCATTTACTTATTATTTATTTAAAACATTTATGTTGTTGTTGTTGTTGTTGTTATTATTTATCGTATGCAGAGTTATGCATAAAGGTAAAGGTTCCCTTGCTCGAAAGCCAGTCGAGTCCGATATAATAATATAAAATACGTAACCAAGTTGATACAATGGGTATGCAGAGTGATTCGGCAACCCCACTAAATACTAATGTCTAAATTTTCAGTCCACTCAATTGGAGCAGGGGAGACTTCAACGAGCTCTGCTGCATCTCCCTGGAAAGCACAACACTCACATTCCTGTGACAGATGGAAACTAGCTTGACAGGCTGTGCCACAATCTCATTTGGGTCCTGGTATTTTGTCCCATTTAAACAACAGGTCTGCACAACTGCCAAAGCCTGTTCTAATTCTGTTAGCCATCTTCCATACTTTATGTAGCATGTCAAATCCTGTGGGCTTCTTGTTGATGTTTATCAGGTTATGGATATTGGATAGAACTGATTGCATCCATGTTCACGACCATTCATGCCCTAAATTGAAATGTTGTGATTGCAGGAATTGTGCAGATCTTATTGCTGGGTGTTGAGATCTTAGTCTGGTTAGGCCTGTGTCAGCCATGTCCTTGTGGATGGGCAACTCTCTGTTTTCAGTGATCTTTCTATATTCATGAAGAAGAGCACAGGAACATAAGAGAAGCTATGATGGATGAGGTCAATGGCCCATCCAGTCCAACACTCTGTGTTACACAGTGGCCAAAAACCAGATGCCATCAGGAGATCCACCAGCGGGGCCAGACATCAGAAGCCCTCCCACTGTTGCCCCCCAAGCACCAAGAATACAGAGCATCACTGCCCCAGACATAGTGTTCCATCTGTACCTTATGGCTAATAGCCACTGATGGACCTCTGCTCCATATGTTTATCTACTCCCCTTTTGAAGCTGTTGATGGTTCTAGCTGCCACCACTTCCTGTGACAGTGATTACATGTGTTAAATACTCTTTGGGTGAAGTACTTCCTTTTATCTGTTCTAAACCTACTGCTAGTTAATTTCATTGAGTGCCCACAACTTTTTGTATTGTGAGAAAGGGAGAAAAGTACTTCTTTCTCTACTTTCTCTATCCCATGCATAATTTTGTAAACCTTTATCATGTCATCCCTCAGTCGGCATTTCTCCAAGCTAAACAGCCTTAACCTCTTTAACCTTTCTCCACAGGAAAAGTGTTCCGTCCCCTTAATCATTTTAATTGCCCTTTTCTGCACTTTTTCCAATGCTAAAATATCTTTTTGGAGGTGCGCTGACCAGAACTGTACACAGTATTCCAAATGAGGCCACACCATTGATTTATAGAGCATTGTGATACTGGCTGATTTGTTTTCAATTCCCTTCCTAATAATCCCCAGCATAACATTTGCCTTTTTTACTGCTGTTGCACACTGGGTTGACATTTTCAGTGCATTAGCTACCATGACTCCATGATCTCTCTCCTGGTTGGTCTCCACCAGTTCGTATGCCTTCAACGTGTATTTATAGTTAGGATTTTGGGTTCCAATATGCATTACTTTTCACTTGCTCATGTTGAAGCTCATTTGCCACGTTGATGCCCATTTGCCCAGCCTTGACAGATCCCTCTGGAGCACCTCACAGTCCTCCCTGGTTCTCACCACCCCGAACAACTTAGTGTCTTCTGCAAACTAGCGACTTCACATGTTGTTTTCTGAGATGCAGGGGAGTGATGTGGCACAATGTGGGTAGCCAAGGGTAGCCAATAGATCAGAGTGGGTTTAATACATCCATTGATGGGTCTCATTGTTGTGTTGAGTTGGAAACCCATGGGGGTCAGGCTTGGACTCCTTGACAAGATCCTAACAATTTATTTTTTTCAAGAATCTCTGAAGCTGCCCAGGCACTGTATGTTCAGTCACCTTACTGAAGAATGGTATGTTTGAGACTGGATGGTAGTTATTCAACTGTCCTGGGTCCAGAGTAGGTTTCTTTAGGAAGGGACACACCTCTGGCTTCTTGAAGGCAAGGGCAACTCCTGCTTCTCTTCGGGACTCAGTCTTCTAGTGTTCTGGCCCCACTGGTGGACCTCCTGATGGCACCTG